CCGGTGGGGGCGGGGCCAGGCCCGGCGGGGGCGGAGCCAGGCAGGGCCGGGCGGGCCCGCGTTTTTTCCAGGGTTAGGGGGTCTGGGACCCGGACCAAAGCCGAGTTTGCATTCTCCACACCAACCCTGCCTCCCCCCATCTCGTTTCTCATTATCTATCATCTATCTACCTGTCTGTCTGTCTGTCTGTTTTTTTGGTCGGTTCTGGGGCTTGAACTCTGGGCCTGGGCGCTGTTCCTCAGCTCTTCAGCTCGAGGCTAGCGCTCTACCACTTGGGCCACAGCACCACTTCCAATTCTCTGGTGTTTTATTGGAGATAAGAGTCTCACGGACTTCCCTGCCTAGGCTGGCTTTGAACCGTGATCCTCAGAACTCAGCCTCCTGAGTAGCTAGGATGACAGCATAAGCCACCGGCGCCCGGCTTCCCACTCTCCTCTTGGCACTTGTGCTCAAGGCTAATGCTCTACCACGTGAGACACAGCTCTACCTCTGGAATTTTGGTGGTTAACTGAAGATTCTTGGGCTGGGAAGGTGGCTCAGTGGTAGAGTGCTTCCTAAAATGCATGAAGCCCTGGGTTCCATTCCTCAGCACCAGAGAAAGAAAAAGCTGGAAGTGGTGCTTGTGGCTCAAGTGGCAGAGTGCTAGTCTTGGGCAAAAGCTCTGGGACAGTGCCCAGGCCCTGAGTTCAAGCCCCAGGATGGAAAAATGAAAAAGAAAAAGAAAAAAAAAGAAACATCACATTTGAGGGTACCCCATATCGTGTTGTCCCCTTCAGTGAGGGTTGATCAAGGTGGTTATGCCAGACAAAGGCACCATTGTGGACTGCTAAGTCACAGACGGGCGATTTCATGTTCTTTTTTTAAGGTGTAATTTACATATGGAATATTTATCTTTTGCAGAGTTTTAATGAACACACACAGCTGTGCAGCTGCTGGCCAGCAGCAGAGACCCCAGGGCGGCATCACAGAAGGCAAGATGAGGAGACACAATCAATAGCCACCAGTGGTAAGTGAATTGTTTTGGGAGATGGAGGAAGTCCGAGGTTTGAACTCAAGGTATCAAAAGCTCTCTACTACTTGAGCCACATCCCCAACCCTTCTTGCTTTAGAGCTTTTGCCCAAGTCAGCTTTGAACTGAGATCTTCCTGTGTCTACCCCAACAGCAACTGAGATTGCAGGCATGTGAAACCAAACTCCCTGATAAACAGCAGTGCATTTGTATTTCTTTGGCCAGTCCTGGGGCTTGAACTCAGGGCCTGGGGGCTGTCCCTTAGTTTTCACTTCTGCCTATTTTTCCAGTGGTTAATTGGAGCGTCTCACAGCCTTTCTTGCCTAGGCTGGCTTTGAACCCGCGATCCTCAGATCTTGGGTAGCTGGGATTACAAACGTGAGCCACCAGAGCCCAGCCATTAACATCGTTGTGTACAGCAAAACCTTCAGGCTCCTTACCACAGAGAATTGCTCACGTGTCTGGCGCATGTGGCAGCATCTGCACCCTTTCTCTTAGCACAAAGCAGGAGGCTGGCTGTGTCCTGTCAGAACTGTGTGCACGGCTGATTCACTCCGCTCAGCTCACCAGTTGTAGGTGGCTGGGATTTCTCTGGGGGCTTCTTTAATACCATGCAAATATCTGGTTTCACATCCATCTTTCACCCAACGGTCTTGGCAGTCTCAGTTTTGATTATTCTAGCCTCATCAAGCATTTAATTGGGAGCTACAAAAATCATCATTTTTTAAAATTTAAAAAACTAGCATTCCTTATGAATTACATGAACTTCTTCTATAACAAAATTTTATCTAGGGCCAGGCGCCAATGACTCACACCTACCATCCTAGCTGCCCACACCTATCATACCTAGCTACCTGAGATAGGAGGATCAAAGCCAGCTAAGGCAGAAAGGTCTGTGAGACTCTTATCGCCAATCAGCAAAAAGCTGGACTTGCAGCTGTGGCCCAAGTGGTAGAGCACCAGACTAGAGTGAAAAAGCAAAACAAGAGTAAAAGGCTGCTGGGCGCCCGTGGCTCATACCTGTAATCCTAGCTACTCAGGAGGCTGAGGTCTGAGGATCGAGGTTCAAAGCCAGCCCGGGCAGAAAACTCTGTGAGACTCTTAACTCCAATAAACCACTAGAAAAACCGGAAGTGGTGCTGTGGCTCAAGCAGTAGAGCGCTGGCCTTGAGCTGAAGAGCTAAGGGACAGTGCTCAAACCCAGAGTGCAAGCCCCAGGACCAACCAAAAAAAAAAAAAAAAAAAAGAGTACAAGGCCCTGAGTTCAAGCCCCAGTACCAGCACCAAAACAAAAAACAAAAATGCCTTCATTAGAACCCAAAAAGAAAGGCCCACACCTCCATAGCCCTTTATACTCCTTTATTCTTGCTGCCAGAGAGAAGGGGTGACCAGAGCCTGTTTCAGGGGGAGGGAGGGCAACGCTGGGAAGGAGCCCCAGAGTCCCAAATGGGAAGCCACACAGCCAGAGCCCCAGAGGCCCTTGGGGAAGGTGGAGAGCGGCGGCCAGGGAAGGCCGCTCCATCTTCTCAACCTAAGTTGCTCATCAGGGTCTGCACTTGCTTCAGTTCTGCGAAGGCAGGGAGAAGATGCAGCAGGTTGGGGGCAGCCGTGTCGGGCCCTGGGGAGCCCCGTGCCCCTAAGGTGTGGCTGGTCCTACCTGCCAGCAGAACCTGGAACTTGTCTGCTGAGAGAGCCATGAGCAAGGGCTGGGCTGGGGCGCCCGGGGCGGACGCCACCTCCAGCCGCAGGTGCACCAGGGGCTCCTGCACAGAGCGCAGCAGGCTGGAGCTGAGGGTGTAGTCCACGCGCCAGCCCACGCCCGCCAGCCTGCTCACTGTAAAGGAGGGAGAGCAGCGCTCAGGAGGGCAAGCCAGGCTCCCGCCCCCTGCCGTGGCCTCTACCCTAGGCCTGGTACAGGACAGGTGCTTTATCATTAAAGAGTTCAAATACGCCGAGCCACCTGTGGCTCACAGCTGTCACCCCAGCTACTCAGGAGGCTGAGATCTGAGGATCGCAGTTCAAGGCCAGCTTAAGCAAAAGTCTGTGAGACTCTATGAGCCAATGTGCTGTCAGAAAACCGGAAATGGAGCTGTGGCTTAAGTACCTGAGTGAAAAAGCTCAGGCCCAGAGTTCAAGTCCCAGTCCCAGCACAAAAGGGAAAGAGCTGAAAGATCCAGCAGAAGAAACTCTGGCTGCACGTGGGGCTGTGTTTAAGGCTTCTAACGAAGGCTGTCCACCCCCCAGCCCAGCCCAGCCCTCCCAACCCCCGGGCCCATGGCCGCACACACCGCGCAGGCTGCAGGCCCGCAGATGCTCCTGCAGGGGGCGCTGCTTCTCCTCGTAACAGCGGCACAGGCTGGCGGCGTGCTCTGGGGACAGAGGGGCTTCCACTGAGTGTAGCCGGGAGAGGGCAGGGCCGGTCGCCTGGACACCTGGCCAGGGCTCCCCCTGCCCCCCCCTCCAGCTCCCCACCACCCGCAGGTGTACCTCGGGGCAGCCCCAGCTGCTGAAGCTCATTGGATAAAGACTCGCCATCCACACTGTGCTTGGCGGCGCTGGAGAGGATGAAGCTGAGCACCGCCACCGTGGCCTTCACATCGCCGGATTCTGGAGACCCAAGGGAGGGGGAGGACGGGACTGTCGCTGCGGGCCCCCGGTCACCGCCCAGCTACCACGAGATCTTCAGCTCCAGGCCAGGGTGTGTAGGGGGCGGGGGTGGGGAGGAGCTGGCAGGTGCAACGGGCGACTCACCGAACTTGGCATCGGCCGTGAGCTTCAGGATCTTCTCATACTACAGGGAAAGAAGGGCCTTAGCAGGTGCTGGAGCCCCGGTGTCACCATCACCTCCCCCAGCCTCTGGGGTAAGGCTGGAGAGGAGGGTGGGGGGTCACCCTGGGGTCACAGGTCAAGGCCAGGGGCTGCTGGGCCCGGCACTCACATCGATCCCCTGTCCCAGAAGTTCCTTTAGCACCTGGCTACACAGCAGACGCAGCTTCACGGAGGACTGGAAGGGAAGTCCCCAAATCAGATGACTGGGGACTGGCTCAGAGAGGGCCAACCACGGGATCAGGTCACACAGCAAGGCAGCCCCAGGCCCAGAGTGACTGCTCCACCCCTTCGTCCTGCCCCGCCCCCAGGGGACCCTGTGCACTCAACGATCTTGGCCAGCGTGCTGATCTCGGCTAGGACCCAATCGGGGCAGTCCAGGTCTCCACAGAACCGGAATCTCTGTCAGGGAACGAGGCGCACAGTCAGACCGCAGAGTGGCCCGGATTCGTGTCCAAGATGGCCAACCTCAGGCCACTGTTCTCCCCATCACTGGACCCCCACCCCCACCAGACTGTGTTCTGTCTGGTCCAGACATTCTCTTACCCAGCAAGCATCAAGCTTTTTGTTTTTCTTTTGGCACTATGGGGTTTGAACCCGGTGTTTGTGAGGGAGTCACTTGGAGCCCCAACTCCAACGGTCAACAAGCATCAACCAAGAGGCAAAGCTGAAGCTAAGTGCTGGGCACCCGGCAGGGGCAGAAGGAAGTTCGTGGTGGACTTGTGGGCTCAGGGATCTCTCTCCTCTTTCCCCTACCACAGGTCCAGTGACAACAATGAACCTGCTGTGCCTTACAGCAGCTTCGCTCCCTCTGAATCCTCACTCCCGGCTCCTGGCCTGCTCTCATCCCATCCCCCCTCAGCTGAACGGACACCTCACCTCATCAAATGGGTCCTTCCTGCTCCCACTTTCTAAAATGAGGAACTATTTTAGCAGTGACTTATGTCTGTAATCCTAGCTATTCAGGAGGCTGAGATCTGAGGATTAAAGTTCAAAGCCAGCCAGGCAAGAAAAGCCCGTAATATTCTTTAAAAAATTTTTTTCCCGGGGCTGGGAAGGTGGCTCAGTGGTAGAGCGCTTGCCTTGCATGCATGAGGCCCTGGGCTCGATTCCTCAGCACCACATAAGCAGAAAAA